GACCCTCTGAATCTTTCAAAAAATTTGACTATGACTTTAGCAAAATTTTATTCTTAGCACGAGAAACTTGTTTTTTTTTTTTGCAAAGAAGTGGGAAAAAGAGAAGAAAGTAATTCAATGGAGGTTTCTCTTTTCAACATATGACAACTTAAAGACACGTATTTGTAAGATAGTGAAGGTTCAGTAATCTTTAACACAACTTTGAAACCACACAGAGGAAGTTCATTAAAAAAATTAGAGATGTAACTTTAAAAACTACATCTTTTAATAAATATTTTTTAAAATCAATCATTAGATTTAATGTTTTATTGATATATGTCTTGTATTTTAATTTTCAAGTTAATCTAATATCTATAATTATTTAATTAAAAATTTTATATTCTTTAACATATATTTAATAGTGTTGAATTTTATATAATCAATAATTTAGTTAGATATATTCAATTAATTTGAAAATTGACATTAGATTATATCAGCATCCATAGAATAGTAACTTTAAAGGTTGGTTTTTGAAACTATTCTTTAAATGGTGACTCTTTTAAAGTTAGAATTCTAATTTTTTTGGTACTAATTTCCTGATATCCATAAATTATATTAGACCTCAATTAATCTGAAATTAAACCACATTGGATCACATAAGGGAAAAGTTCTTCCGGTGCCTATTTCTTTATTTACAAGACTCGAACTCAAGGCCTTTATTTACAAGACTCGAACTCAAGGCTTTACTTAAAAAGAATTAAATTCTTTCCATTTAGATCAACAGACCATTGGTAGAACTCTAATTTTTTAATAGGAGTCAATACTTATATATATACAAATAATACTTTGTATTATCTCTATTCCGTAATGATTGTATTTTTTTACTTTTTCTTTAAATTAAAGATTTGGGGACATTTATATATTTGCTTAGCTTTAGGGGAAAAAATAAAAAATAAAGTTAAACTTTTTGTGCTAAGATAATTAATTAAAATAAATTGATAATAATAGGGTTAAAGTAGGAAAAAAATATTTGTCTATCTTAAAATATAAAAAAATAAAAATTAATTTATAACAAATTCAAAAGCAAAAAAACAACAATTATTTTAAGACAAAGAGAATATGTGCTATGAAAATGATACCATCAAAAAGGAAAAAAAAATCTCACAATTCACTTAGTTGTATTCATTTTATGGAAAAAGTCACATGTCATTTTCACATAAAATTGTTGTTATTATTATTATTCTACAATAGATGATGGCTATATGATAGGGGATCACCCTTTTAAAATCCTTCCTATCTATCTCAAAATTTGAATTTGAAATCTTTAATATAAAGATTCAAACTTTTAACTATTGGATTGTCTTTTATAGGATATAAAATTGTTGTCTTGAAAATGTCCCATTACCATATGTTTGGGTTGAAGGGAATGAAGGGGAGGGAAAGTTGGTCTTCTTCTTCTTCTTCATTTTTTTTTTTTGGTAAATCAACTAAATATATAAAAATGTGAATACAATGGATGCCCAATTTGCCCTCTATAGCAACCACTTCTACCAGATTTTAGCATTTTGCATCTTTTATAAAACAATCTTTAGCCTTCACAGACTATATGCATAAAACACCTTAAACCTAAAAAATAAAAAAAAAAATATACAAAAAAAAAAAAACTCAACTGTCGTACAGACTATCTTTCATAATAATTCTCAAAGACCTGTAATTTTCATCTATGCTCTTGGTTTTTGGGTAAAAATAATGGGCTTTTTTGATCTGTTTGGGTTTTTAAGGATCGAAAATCTAAGATTCCTCT